AGGGAGCACTGCCTGTCAAGATGGCTGAGTGATGAGAGCAGAGCCGCCCGTCTAATCCAGGATTGCCGTGGCTCTGTGATCGTTCCTGGTCAAGTGGTTTAGGATAGAGAGTGGGAGGATCGGTAAATGTCTTTGATCACAGATATTTACCGTTCCTTTTCCAGAGTTATTATATATAACTCTGTGAGGCTGAATTTTTATAGGTGGTATCAGATATTTATAGCTTGCCAAGTTGAGAGCCCATTCAGACCGGTGCATGCACAATCCACGTTGCAGTGCCATTTTTTTTGTTAGCGTCCAAGCTCACTCCGATGATGGACTAAATCTCGATACAAATTTAGTAAACTATACATGAGATTGTAGTCCATCACAGGAGTGAGCTTGGAGCTGTGACTACTTTACAACACACACGGGGACCATGGGCAAGAGAAATAGCCACCCTCCAGAAGGAAGGACTGTATCAGAACCAATTCAGAGATGATTTGAGGATTTACAGCCAAGTGATTCACAAATAAGATACATTGGAGGGGATTTATCAAAACTGGAGCAGACAAAATCTTGAGCAGCTTTGCATGGCAACCAATCAGCTTCTCTCTTCAGTTTGTTCAGTTAAGATTTGAAAATGAAAGAGAGAAGCTGATTGGTTGTCATGCAAAGCTGCTCAAGATTTTGTCTGCTCTGGGTTTTATAAATTCCCTTTATTTTTGTTAATAGTTAAGTATTTGAATGCATTTTTAAGATTTAACTTCTGTACTTAGTGTCAGTTCAAGCTAGCCAGCTCTGCTGCAAAAGTACCTTAGCCTGAAAGATATGGTGCTGTTATTTCCTGTTTATTGCTTTGATGTGCAGTTTTATTTGTGTCTTGTGTTTTTTGGTTTTACAATTTTGTTCAGTTGTTGCAAAGTGTTACATATCTTGACATATGTGCAGTGTGTGGCTGTGGGGCTTGTGTGCTCTCGCTTGGAGTGTGATGAGATTGGAGATCTACAATCACAATCTAATCTCAGCCAAGCTGCTCTTGTGTTGCTGGAAATCCCATTTCATACAAATGCCTGCTTAGCGTTATAAACCTGGTTAAAAAGAATAAACTACACTTATGGGAGCAGATGTGGATGCTGGTTTAATGCTCTAACCCCACCCCCCCAAAAATATAAAGATGATATTCTTTTGAAATAGCCAATGAAGATTTACATTTGTTAATCCTGAGTAAGAATAGAATATAAAGCATCACATCCTTAAAAAAAAAGACTTTAGATGGTGATTTTCCACAAAGCTTACCCACTATTTTGCATTTAACCAATATTCATATTTGACTTTAGAGTCAGCTGGCAGTGGCAGGCACTATGGACTTCCTATTGATCTAACATAGAAACTTAATCTGGTTCCCTCAATTGGTCTTTGAGCCATTTTGGAAAGAGCTTGGCTGGCATATGAATAAAATGTATTGGGCATTTGGTATTGGGAAAGCACTACTTTAAGTACAGTGAGGAAGACGTGCGGACACAACAATAAGTTGGAGGGGAGGAGGTATAATCATAAACTGAGTAAGAGGTATTTTACTTTGAGAGTGGTAAAGATGTGGAATTCACTTCCATGGATAGCTGTGTCCATGGGAAACAAACTGCTTCAAAAAACACTTGGATGAGTTCCCCAGTTCACAAAACATACCGGGTTATTGAAGTTCTGTGGAACACACACGCACACACACACACACACACACACATACGCGCACACACACATGCACACACACATGCACACACACACACACATGCACACACACACATGCACACACACGCACATGCACACACGCACACACACATACACACACACACACACACACACATACACACACACACACACACACACACACACACACACACATGCACACACACACGCACACACACACTGGACCTGTCTTTATTTAACTATGAATGCCTGTGATTAACCCATGGGCAGCCAGGAAGAAGTTAGTTTCTGGACAAGTTAAGTGTCAAGACTGTGTGGAAAAATATTATCATTAGGCTCTCCACATGTAGTGATGGTAGTACTTTACCTTCCAAAGTCTGAGAAACAATTTCTTAAACTGGCCATACACCTATACATTATCTGCAGATTTTCTATGGTCAGATGGAAAAAGTGCAACATATTCCTCCAGGTACGCTAAACTCAGGCCCGGATTTCCCACAAGGCCACCGAGGCCCGGCCTCAGGGCGGCAGCGGTGACCTTGTGGGAAGTTGCGGGCTCCGGTGTAAGGTGTCCGCCGGCCGCAAACTACGGAGCCGGTGGGCGGAGCCTCGGGCCGCCCCATCGTGATTGGACGG